TATATATGATGAAACAGTAGAAAAAATGTCATGATCGTGAGTATACTAGATAAAAGATGAATAAAAGATTAGAATTGTTCATGAGATGAATATTGACGGAAAAAGTTTGGTTTACTTAGTAGATATATTAAGAAAAATATGTATGAAAAATAAATATTTGATAGTAAAAAACAAACAAACAAATACACGAACTAAAGTAATTTACAGGTTTAGGAAAATGTTCCTATAAAAATGTATAGGGAAACTTAAGTAGGTATGCGTACTTTTTGAAAGCTGTTGTATTCTCGTTCGCAGTGTGTCTTCTTTCATATTTTATAGTGTAGTAGCTGGGTTGGATTTTTAAGTGGTTATATCCAACACACTGTATATCCCATTTCTATTGACTGAGCTTGATGGCTATAAGTGAACGTTGCTTTAAAACAGTTATTTTCCAGTTTTCGTATATTATAATTAGCATTCCAGTTGAAGATGATAGCAAATAACAAAATAAAACATCTTTAAAAATTAATATTTTTACTGTTTTCATAAAGGATCTTAATCAATCCTACCACGATTGTAACGAGAAAACAATAAACCGTTATATTTAAGACGATGTTAGAGATTACGTAGCATCAACTGATCATTTTATATTAAGAAACAAAACTTTTATTGGAAGTTAAATATACTAGTTCCACGATGAAAATATTTTGTAATGTATTATTTAACATATGATGATCTCATGTCAAGTTTGAAGATGACACTTTGTGATTTCCTTCTTGCAATAGTTCTTTAAGAGACGTGCAGAAATATATATTTTACCGTGTAAGACACTTCATAATTATTATAAAACTTTCCATTACAGTGAGATAAGTCAGCTAAAAGCGAACAGTTAGAACTTATAGTGCGATAAGTCAACTGAAAGGGAACAGATAGAACTTATAGTGCGATAAGTCAACTGAAAGCGAACAGATAGAACTTATAGTGCGATAAGTCAACTGAAAGCGAACAGATAGAACTTACAACATGCCATATTATAGTATTTATAGATGTCAGGTAACCATTTCTGCTTAAAAGGATCTCGATTACAATACTTCGGATACTTCAACTGGAATAAAAAGCAAGTGTATTGGAAGTTGAAGGAATAAAATGACAAAGATCTGTTCCGAATAGTACAAGATGCACTCTCATTTCTGCGAGCGACTTCTGTCTGGAAGAAACCTATATACATGTGTTTACTTCTATTTTAAAAATAATTCAGAAACGGTTTCAGAACATATAAGAAAGTTAAACTGAATAATGGTTACCAGAATAAAAAGGAAATGGACAATAATGCATGTCCGTGAAGCAGCGCGTTTCTTTGCAATGTGGAAACATTTCAACCAATAGATCGTATTTTATTCAGATTTTTCATCACTAGATGTTTAGAGACCTGACTCGTCTTTTGAAGCTAATATGAACTTTATGTTTTAAAATACGCTGTTCACGAGGCCTTCCTGGTATCACATTGTCTTGAGACATCATTAATTATTACTCTCCAAATTATAAAAAGCTGATCTATAATGTCTTTTAGATCTACTTCAAGTACTGAATACATTATATTAAACACCACTAGCTTCAGCGGAATGCATTTTATACTTTTATGAGAATTATATAGTGTACTTTGTTCTAATCCGGACAAAAACTGTCAGTCTTCGAGTGGCTATGTTTATCAGACTTCTGTATTTATTTTAATGTCGTGATCAATTTCAATGCAGAAAAAGTTTGCATCTTGTGTACAAAATTAATCATAGTATGACTCTACAACAACATGGCAGTTAGCTAATTTGTTTATTTCTTCTGATTTAGAAAAACACGTTATTTAATTATATAAATAATTTATTTCTATCCAAGAGTTTGTTTGTTTTGAATTTCGCGCAAAGCTACACGAGAGCTATCTGCGCTAGCCGTCCCTAAGTTAGCAGTGTAAGATTAGATAGAGGGAAGGCAG